ACAGCTGAACTCTTCAGCCATACGCTAATGCACCTCATAGGGATTTATTTCATTAAATCAAGAGTGAGACCTTTTGTCAGTGAATCATCCATTCCCATGTAAAGCAGAGTGTGCTACTTGTCTGCGTTACACGATTAGTAATACACGCAAAGAGACTTAGGTACTCCTCAGGGCAAAGACAGAATAATAATGGTTATGGATACAGATATATAATATATAATTTAAAATTTTATTTTAAAACTTTGCGCATACACTTCTTCAGCATCCTCCTCTTTTGTTCATTGCACTGAAAAGTTTCAAAAAAACACAAAATATATCCCTTTACCAAACATTTTTTGTTCTTGGGTTACAAAAAGATTAACATTTCACAGTCACAAAGCAGAAATACATTGGTCCAAAACGTCTTCCTCCAACAGGTCCTCCATTCTTCAGCACATAGAAAACCTAGATGGTTGCACAGATCTCGAAACAAGATGACCTGTCTGATGAAGGAAAGGAAAAGGTGGCAGCTATTAAAATAACACCCCCAAAAATGAAACCAAAATAAGACACCTATGAAAGAACACCACTGGCAGTGGTTAAAAAAAAAAAAGGAAAAAAGAAGAATGAGAGTGGAGGTGGGCAAGGGCATCCTTCAAGTACATCACAGGTAGAAATACAGCAGCCCAGTTACAGCACTGTTTGCTCACTCTCTCTATGGCAGCCACATCACTACATCTTGGTCTAAGACACACGGAGGAAAAGTATTTACACATCGAAAACGTCAGGGAGGAACAACAAATCCATACAGTTTGCAGCTCATGTTTAGTACAAAAATGTTGAAAGTATTCGCACATAAAATGCAAAATAAAAGGAAAACGCCAAGGCAGGAAGAAACATAGTAGATCTCCTTGGAGTGTGTAGTGTTCTTTAAAAACCCAGCAAAAGTTCAAAGCCAAAATCTACCCAAACATCAAGTGTAGTTTGTCAAAAATATCCTGGAGGCACAGAGTAGACCGTACCTCACAAAGCCCTCTTGTCGTATTTTAACACGGAAGTAACTTTAACATGGAAATCCACTGCTAACAGCAGACTCCAACCATTTTCCCTTTAGCTTGTTAGCCTTGTTGCTTTTTTTTTTCTGCATTTATTAAAAAATTAGTATCTCTCCAGCATGAGGCCCCTGAACATCAGCCCCTTCAGACAATATGCTTTTGCGTTCGTGAAGGAAGCATCATTGCCTTAACATACTGAAAGATGGTTGCGTGCTTCACTTAAGGTGTAGATGAAATTTCTATCTTCTTCATCAAATTACACAAAGCAGATTCTAGGCTGTAGTGCAAGAGAAAAATGTCTGAAATGGCTGTACTACCTTCTGCAATGGTACTCACAGAAGAACGGTAGAAGCACAGAAGCTTCTTGGTTTTGAGTTTTGAGAAATTAGACTCGATGAGGCACCAGAAGACAGCGTGACTCAGACTGTATGGCACAGCTCCTGCTTTCCTCATCGTTGGCCAAGGAAGGGCAAGCACTTGCCCGACCTTCTAAGCAGCATCTGTGGGCAGGCAAGGACACGTCTGTCCGCAACAGCAACGTGAACACAGGTGTGACAGAGGCTCCCTGCTGCTAAGGCTTGAACAGGTTGAGATACTAAGGGAACATCAATGGCAAAAAGCCATAGTGCTGCTGGCATCAGGCAGCAATGAAGAAGACATGCCAAGGATTGAAAATTCGGAATTGGTGCATAACTTGCTGTGGTTGGAGGAGGTGAGATGTCTGCTCCTAACCCAGGAGCTTCACTGAGCCCTAGAGCACCTGCAGATGTGAACATGGCGATATCCGTCCTGTGCCTGTCTGAAAAATGCTGTTGCGTGCCACGGATCCTCCCTGCCAGCAGGGATTCTAATGCTGTGACTCCCAGAATAATTCAGCCGCTAAAGGGAATTGGAAATGCTTTTCAATTATTGTTGTTGCTCGCACAACACCTCCCCAGTAAATGGCTCCTGCCTCCTACTTTTATAATGCTTTGGTGTACACATGTATTTACATTATGCCTCGAAGCAGAGCACAGACCACAGGGCAGGCACGTAAGAAGCTCCTACTAAAAGCAGATATAGAGGTGAAAGCCCAAGTACTGCCACAGCGGTATCAGAGATGTGCCAGGGACACCTGAGGGAGGCAAGCACATAAATGGGTAACAGACACTTGGCAATAAAGCAAAACAAAAAGGATCACAGCATAGTTTCAGTCACGTGCATCTGAGTAGGAAACTTTTTATTGTTCTTTAAAGTTCTTGGAATTTATCAATTGATGCTAATTGCTATTAATTGCTGATATTGTGCTTCTGCCCTTTCCAGGAGAGGTGCTGACAGGTAACACAGCTCGACGTGGGCCCAGTCGCTGTGCAGAAGCAGCTGACCGACAGCAGCACCTCAGATGAACAACACTGTGGAGGCTGATTCACGAAGCCACACCAGCGCCCAGGAGATTCTGCTCTGAGAAGTCCCCAGCCAGTTTGCTCCCACTGAGCCACGTGCTCTGCTAACCCATCTCTCCAGGAGTACATTTAAGACACCCCTGAATGTGAAGGTACATTTTCCATTGGCTTGAAGTTTCACTTTTAAATTTGGGCAAATGCTATGCTGGAAAAGTTTATTTCCATCCCATTGTACTCAGTGGTTTTATAATGACTGGTATGTGTTGACACCATGTTACCAAATAATGAAGACTAACAATGCACGAGCACTGAAATACTTGACTCAGGCCTGTCGTTGGTACCAGCAAGCACCAGCTCCTTTGCTGTTCAGATGGCTCCGATGGAATTGCCAGCATTAGTTTCTCTGTGAAAGAGGATCTGAATCGCTAGAGGACTACGCCACTGCATTTGTGAAGAGACAACAGGAGTTACACAGAGCATGAAAAGCATGTTTACAAGTTTATTAGGCCAAAAAAAAGCACAAGAGAAGATCTCTTGCTTAAACTTTAAAACATATGAGGGGCTGCATGAAAAATAGTCTAGACTCCAAACCTCTCTTTTCACCCAGCTGCACACAGAAAAAGAGGTAAAGGGGGGAAAAAAAGAATAAGGAAAGAATAGATAAAGCATGACAACACATAACCAGATATGCCACTGATTTATGCTGAAGCTCTAGAATATAAAACATCTGCGTTCTGCAGAGCTTTATTACATGCAGGCACTGGGGAATGCATGGAACAATTTTCAGGCTAAAATCACACAGTTTGCTGCATGTTTGAGCCGTTACACACTTTGCATTGCCTGCTTTCAACCTGAAACTCCTCCTGGGTCTAGAGATGTAGAGCCTGGGTAGTTTAAATCCACCGAGATGGTTGCACATGGACTTTCGGATGCAATCAAACGGAACATCTGGGCAGCTACACAGCACATGCACTGCGCCCTGTGTGCACAGCACGTGACCCAACATAGAACTGGCCACCTCTAGGCCTCACCTGTATGGAAGAACATCTGCAAAGAGCACAGCATCCTCCTTCTCCTTTGGAAAGGACACAACATTTGTGAGCTGGCCCAGTCAGTGCCCTGCAATGGTGTCAGCTACCTGGGGTTTGGCTGTCCAAACCAGGTGAGCAGCTCGGAAAGAACGTGGTCTGGGGGCAAACTGCATTGAACTTGGCTGCCCAGCCAACACACCTGTCTGCCAGAACCTTGCAATCTTGTTTTTAATTCAAGTCCTGCCAGCAAAGAATGCCTGAAGAATGGGCAGCTGGGTTAAGCTGCAGGTTTACTCACCTGCTTTCCTCTAAGACTATTGCTTTCACTCAAGTTTTCTTTATTTTAATTGATTCATCACTGCCAAGAAAAAAAGCTGCTGAAGCTAGCCAAGGCCTTGTATCTTTCACAGTGATCTTCTGATCCTTGACTACAGTCCTCAATACCAAGAGGACAGAAAGTTATAAGCTGTCACCTTCTGATCACTAAGTCAAGCGGACAAAGGCAGATTGAATAACAGATGAGGCAGGAAGAAGCAAAACGACTTTTAAATAGATCACTGTCTGGGCATCCAAACTGGTAACGAGAGCAATATCACCACTTCAAGTAGGAATCCAACTAAAAATATGCTCAGGAGCCCCCCAAAATCTACCAAATTCCAACTGAAGCAAAAAGCTGTATGGTCAGGGATCCTTTCAACAGGATAAAGCCAGCAGGACCATTCAATGAATGAAAATCTCTGATCCCAAAGAAACCACAGCCTCCAGGTAAACAGCACATAAAGCCGAGTTTCCGTGCTCTGTATCATCATGGTGCACACACAACAGGGAATCTTGACAAACAACCCCTCACACCAGAATAAATCTTGCCATACGCGACTGGGACCTGTTCCTCCTGGACAATTTTGCTGTTTTAGCTGCAGTAAACAGGCATAGTCACACTGAAAATAATTTCAGTTTTCCTACTAAAATACAGGAGTAAAGTCTACTGAAGAAGAGACAGGAGGGGAAAATAGGAGGTTCAAAGGATTAGACAAGTTTTAAGTTGTCCGTAGGTAAGTCATGAATGCAACTTTTTGAAAGAAGAAAACTCTTGAGTCTCATATATGTATATATAGGTATCTTTAAACGAAGGGTGACCAAAGTCACCTTCTGAATATTTGGGGGTAGATTTCAGAAGCTTCCTTGGCTTCTGATACCCACTTCTACTTTCACAACTGAAATGGCTCTTCCAAGCTACATGGTAAACAGAAAAAAATTAATTCCCTACCTGGAGGGACAACAGAATCCATAATATGCTAGCAGCATTTATATCCCATTCCTCTTAAGCACCAAAACCATTTCTATAGGGCAATTGTAATCTTAAGGGTTATCTTTAATCATATACAGTATATGTGCAGAGCCCTACTTTTCGGGCACAAAAATACCCCTCCAGCATTAGTTTTGAATAGATTACATCAATTGGAAGTGTCCTGGTTGGATCACCAAAAACATATTGTCTCTTACAGGCCCTTCCCAAAAACATCCCCATCCTACAACCACTCTTGATGCTACTTTCACGACTGTTTATTCCCGTGTATTAAAGGGATGACGTAGACAGAGATGTCGTCTCCGGAGCCCAGCCTGTCGTTGGATATTCGCCAGCCCCGGTCTTTCAGCACTCCCCTGGCTCGCATCACCAGGTCCTGCGCCGCCAGAGTGTACCTGTGGGAAAGGCAGAATACGGTCAGGGAGAGCTCGTCATAGACAGTGGGACTGAGTGCACCCTCAGCAGGTTTGCACATGACTGTGTGGTGCAGTCGATACACTAGAGGGATGTGATGTCCTCCAGAGGGACCTGGACAAGCTGGAGAGGTGGGCCTGTGTGAACCTCATGAGGTCCAACAAGGCCAAGTGCAAGGTCCTGCACCTGGGTTGGGGCAATCCTCATTATCACTACAGGCTAGTGGGTAATGTGACAGCGAGCAGCCCTGCAGAAAAGGACTTGGGGGTGCTGGTGGACAAAAAGCTGGACAGGAGCCAAAAATGCGTGCTTGCAGCCCAGAAGGTCAATCACATCCTGGGCTGCATCAAAAGAAGCCTGGCCAGCAGACTGAGAGAGGTGATTCTGCCCCTCTGCTCACAGAATGTTAGGGGTTGGGAGGGACCACAAAAGATCATCTAGTCCAACTCTGTGCAGGTGAGACCCCCACCTGGAGTACTGCGTCCAGCTCTGGAGCCCTCAACACAAGAAGGACATGGACTTGTTGGAGTGGGTCCACAGGAGGCCACAAAGATGATCAGAGGGCTGGAGCACCTCTGCTACAAGGACAGGCTGAGAGAGTTGGGGTTGTTCAGCCTGGAGAAGAGAAGGCTCCAGGGAGACCTTATAGCGGCCTTCCAGTACCTGAAGGGGACCTACAGGAAAGCTGGGGAGGGACTCTTTATCAGTGAATGCAGTGATAGGACAAGGACTAATGGTTTTAAACTAGGGCAGGGTAGATTTAAATTAGAAATTAGGAAGAAGTTTTTTGCTGTGAGAGTGGTGAAACACTGGAACAAGTTGCCCAGAGAAGTGGTGGAGGCTCCATCCCTGGAGACATTCAAGGTCAGGCTTGATGGGGCACTGAGCAACCTGATCTAGTTGGAGATGTCCCTTCTCACTGCAGGGGCGCTGGACTAGATGGCCTTTAAAGGTCCCTTCCAGCCCAACACAGTCTATGAATCTATGATTCATGAGGAAAGTGGGTTTTCACAGCCTGCCAGATTCCCTCTTGTGAGCTACCAAGACCAGCTTCCCAGCGTTACAGAAGCAGGCAGGAGAAACACAAATCACAGCATATGCACACAGCAACCCCTTCCACTTAAGAGATAGCTCCTGCATCAGAGTCTGAAAGTATATGACAGGCATTGATCCATCAAAACGTCACCAATCATTTTGGGTGCCCAGCTTCACCAGTTTTCAGGAAAATATTAGAACACACTTGCCTTAACAAATTGGCTTTCTAGTAGTCTGAAAAACTGAGGGCCTCAAACAATACAACTTGCTGTTGAAAACTACACCCTTGCTCACTGACACACTTGAAGGTAACCATTGCTCAACTATTTCAGAAGCAAAACAGAACAAAAAAGTCATCTGAAAGCAAGTAATAGAGCACTAAAAGTAAAATCCAAATTACATTTTAAACCAAGCAGACTAACTTGTCTGTTTTCCTTGACTGTAGGAATGATTTTTAAATCTCTCGTATTCTGAAGCTGGAAAAGGAAACTTACAGTTAATACAGCCAGATTAACAGAGTCCCACAGTTCTTTCACGTTTATGAGTTCAATGAAAACTGAGCGAATGTGAGTTGTGAAGTGCTTAATTTAGTGAAATAACAAGTTTCATGTTTTTTCAAAACTCCCAGCCTGTGCTGGCCTGAGCAGCATTGGATTTATGGGAGCTATTTTCTGTCCTGAAAAAAATAACAGATGCTGCTTGAGGGTAGAAGAGTGTCAGAGTGCAAAGGTCGGTACACGACAGTGCTCTGTCATGTGCTCTCTTATGGTTTTACCTGCTGTTACTAGATCAACACATCTGTGTACTCACTTAGAAGTCTCCTCTGAAAGAAATCTCATTCTGGGTGAACAGCTACTGTCACGTGTTTTTCTTCATCAGTCCGACACCTGGCTGAGATGTTTTGAATTTGGCTGGGTGGAGGCAAGCTTTTCTATGATTTGATAATTAAAAATTAATCAAACCGTTAAAACACTGCCAGGAAAAAACACAGTTCAATATTGCAGCTGCCTGTGTTTTATTTGAAGCTTGAGTATCGACTTCCAAGATGATGTGGGGCCTCTGTGAAGTGAAACCCAGAGGGCACCAGAAGCAAAGCACACCTCTGTAGTTTCCAGAAATGTGGCAGGACAAGAAGGGTTTACAAGACTCCTTTTCTGAGGGAGGATCCCTGGCCAGATCCCTCCTGAGGAACGGGAAAGAACGGTATCTCCACTCATCAGAAGCTGGGTTGAAGGGGGGAGTTTATTGAGCATCCAAGACTGTTGTTAGAAATTTTCACCAGAGAATGCATTATTAAAAGGTAATTTCTACCAGTAGAGACTTCATTCACTCTCTGGGAATATAAGAAGGAAAAAAAAAAAGCAATTATGTTCCGTTTCTACAGTTTTGGTGCCTTAAACTTGAATGACTCCTTTTAACCAGGAATACATTTATTTGCTCTGCTAGAAAGATTTCTTCAATGCAAATGAATCAACATTTGACTGCTCAAAAGGTTTGATGTTAAATCCAAGTAATGTTGCACAGAAGCGAAGCGCGCCCTGCTCCTAATGGTACCAAGAGATAAAATTTCCAGCCCTCACTAGTTTTGACAAAAGATTTACTTTTAGCAGTGAGAAGGGCCCAAGGCATGAACTCTAACACGCAGCCTTGCACACACACATGTGCGCTGTCGGCACGTTCCGAGATAAGTCTGCACCAACGACCTCGAGCTATAATGGCAGGATATAATGAGAAGCACTGTCCACACTGTCCTAATGCAACATGAAATTGTATTTTCTAAGGGGAAAAAACCCCAAACATACATACTTGCACTCCCCAGTTACCAAATCCCGAAATCAGATGCAGGGCTAAGGAACAAGAGGACACCACGTGGTAAGCAAGAAACTGGAATATTTATTCACAGCATGTCTGATGCTGAGTGAATTTTGGCTAGAGTATATTTTCCAAGGATTTCTCTGCCATTGTCAGAATTTAAGAGAAGAAAACCCACACATAATTCTGCAAAAAAACCTTTGCCTTCCTCCTTTTTCTAATTAACACGGGCTCCCCACATCTAAAGAGTACAAAGGAATGAGTGCTGCTCTTGATTGTGTAAAGCTCTTGCTGCTCAATGTTTGGAGAGGGCAAGATTAAAAAACAAAAACAACGAAAAAAGGATTTTAATAAATGATACACTCTCTCACAGTCAGACTGTGAAATACCCAAGAAAACAGCACATTGGAGCAAAGGAAAAAGAACAGGTGAAGGCAGCAGCGAGGTAACATATTCTTCCTCTCGTTGTGCAGAGCCAAATTGAAGAGATGCTGTTCAACTTGGCACTAGAGGAGATAGGGTGAGTCTCTCGTACCCAGAGATGAAGAGCAGCAGCAGTCCATTATCGAATGCTTTATTCTCCAGCGCTGTGAACTTGGGATTCAGCTGTCAAGACAGCATTAGAGAACTGCTGAAGTAGTTTTAAAGTACCCACTTTCTCCTAATGAACAGCCTTGCTGGAACACAACTTTTGTGTTTTAAGAATAAATATATATGTGAGGTTTTTATTTCCTTCTGCTGAAGCTTTCAGTATTGATCAGTAAAAACTACTGTAGGAGAAATGGTGACAGTGGGGGAAACGTGCTGCTGTTTGAGTTCTTATCTCCTTACACCCAGCAGAGGTGGAAAAACTCCCCAGCATCCTCATAAATCTCTAGCTAGGATGAGAGAGAGAGTAAGAGGGAAGGAGAAAGGACAGGAAGGGGGATGAGAAATAGAAGACTCCCAAGGTCAGTGGGTAAGCCTGCGGAAGCGTGGCTGAAGGAGATGGGTGAGAGTCATGCTTCTCTATCTTCACACCTCTTCAGAGAGATGCTGTATGGGAAGCAGCAGCGTGTCACAACCACCTGGTTCTTCACTCAGGGTCCCCTTCATGCCCTTGTCTGCTACTGGCTGGCTGGCTCAGAAATCCAGCTCCACCCCAGCTTCTTCACTCCATCACAGACTTCATGGAGGAATTGTTCTCTAATCAAGTCTGTGCCCATCATCCCCTGTCCAAATCCCCAAAGGCTCTGTCTGCATGTCTGGGTGAAGACAGACCCGAGGACTTTGCTCTCCCTGCACACGGAGATGTCCAGGCACACGCTACATTTGACAGGAATTAAAGATGTTTTTCTGTGGGTAACGAGCACTCACAGTTCTGGCAGTAAATATCGGCAGGAGAGAGTCCCAAGAGCGTTGCTGAGGGCTGTAAGCTTTTACCCATCAGGCTATAAAATGACTTCTAATTCAAATGGGAGGGATATTGTTCCCACAAAGAGCTAATTACGTAACAGATAAGTACTCTGGAGCTCTCAAATCTTCCTCTCTAGCTTTTTTTGTCTTTTAATTTTTTTTTTTAAATATGCTGCTGTCAGGGAGTAAGTAGGCTACTGGGTCAGGCGAATCCAGGGTCTGCTCCACAGGTAGGTTCTCCAGAAGATCACAGCATCACCAAACCTGGGGGCAGGTCTCTTACAGAGTCACAGAATCACCTGGGTTCTGACAAGTTTTCTACATCCCTAGAGATTTTACATTTCCAGCTGATCACTTCACCACAGACTCTGTCACTACACCCACTGCCGAACCTGACATCTTCTGGGATAACATTTCCTTTAAACATAACACTGATCATACAGCAAACAAGATTTTCCTGTCACCGACTAGTGAGAGGAATGAATGCAGCTCCACAGTCCGAGCTGCTTTGCTACTGTAAATTCATTAGTTATACCTCATTTGGACCACTGTGAAGTAATTACGGAAACCTCTCACACAGTACTTTAAACCCTTTAAATATTCTTTACAACCAAGCAGCAAGAGCAATTCTGCAAAGGTGATTTTCATAAATATCATTGTAAACTATAGGAGGGACTGCTCTAATTACCTCTTGCAAGCTGGCATGAGAAATGTCTTGCCACTGCTATTTGTAAGCCTCTAAATGACCTGGCACATAGTTACTTAAAAGAAGAAATTAATTTTCAATCCAGATGACCATTCATAGACCAAGAGGTCAAACACTAATAAACATGTTTGTTCTAACTCATAATACAGCAGGCCCAATTCTGGAGTGTGTTGCTCTTACACTGGCACAAAGAAGGACTAATCCCCGACAATTCCTGGGGCTAGACCAGCACAAACAAATCTAAACAAAACAAAGAAAATCTCTTTTCTTCCTTCAGTGTCTCTGGTTTCTATGAGTGTTTTATAATGCATTAGGACAGACTGATGTATAATTACTGACCTGACATGTCAAAATCAAAAAATTGAACAAAGAATTTCCATTGCTCCTGCACAAACACAGTGGCCTTCACTATCTTTGGAAAGACCAAAAGGAACAAGACAGGCATGATACACCCAGACTGAGCAGGGCAGGGGTATTACACTTTACCAGAGGAGACTCAGCGTGCAGAAAGGAGAGAAAAAGTTCCCAAGCGCCTCTGAACAGTGCTAGGGAATAACTGAAAGTAGACTGGGTTGGTTATTTCCTCCTACCTTAGATTAATGGCATATATGCCCAGCACAGTGCCACATGCCCTGGAAGTGCCCCTCACTAATCCTGCCTCATGTCCTCCTGGAGAGAGGGCAGGGACACTTCCATGTCTTGCTGAAGTAGAGACAGCCCTGGCTGTCATTCATACCGCATCTCTTTGGCACAAGGAGGTGAGGAAAGTCAAAATATTGCAGTTGCAGCATCATGCTAATCGTCCACTCATACGACGATCGAGTACTTGCAGCAAAACCTCGGTTTGCATTGCATGTTTGTAAGTGTCAGGGCAAGAAAATAACTACTTGGGAGTTACTTTGGAACGGCTCTCCCTTTAACAGCCCAGTGGAGCGTGGCTCTCAGGGCATCCATCCCCAGTTGTCTTCCTTGTTTGCTGATGGAGAACAAGGCCGAACCTGTGAAGATGACCACTTAGAGACAAGGGAAACACCAAGCATTTTGAGATGGGTTTTCCCATGTCCTCAGGAGCTGCCACATCTAAACAGCCGTAACTTGAGCTCTCACACCGTTCCATGTGTTTTCACTTGGCTGCCAAGACATCCTAGAGCTTATTTCTGAAGCTCTACTTTCTGCAGGCCAACTGGGGATGCGTAAAAGCTGTTTTCTGCACTCTCAGCCCAGGGTGAGGGCAGAAGACGGCGACAGCCAGGCCTGAATTCAGGAGCAACACACACTTTGCTTCTTGAATGGTCCCCGGGGAAGGATAAAGCTCTTTCCACTTTCAGTCCTCCCTTTTCGAAGTGAGAGACTTCTGATCTCCAGTGTAATGTTTTAATTCCTGGTGACACGGAACTCAGCAGAAAGACAGACTGATGGACTCACTCAAGGCAGACAGCGCTCTAGCTAGTTGTTTGAAGACTTGTTTGTTTGCCTGATGATATCTTTCAAAGACAGAAACTGATCAAGTAAGAGGTGATAAAGACAGGAAAATGAGGAGGATAAGGAAGGTTAAAATTGTGAAATGAAACTGAATCCACTTAAATGAAACAGTCCAACTTTCCACTTATTTTGCCACCACACGTGTCCTGCAGCAGGTAGCATCAAGCATCCCCTATTGAAGGTGGGCTTAAAGATCACAGCATGACCAGGAATGAGTGGGAACCACACCATCTAGTATTTATACAAATATACAGAGCATCAGAGATGCTGATTACATCCTAGTGAGAAAAAAGCTTTATTGTTAAGGGACTATCCAGAAGATAGATAAGAGGAGACCTCTGACTGCTGGGGACAGAGACATGTTGCCGTGTTCTTTTAAGACCTCCTACAGTTTCCACAGGACCTTGTAGAGCAAAGCAAGTGACACCATGATGCCACAACTACTCCTTTGAAGGTAGGCAATGATGAGTTACAACAGTTCCCTAATTCCCCCACCCCAAACCCCCACATTTGCTGTAGAAGCTCCATTCGACTTATTAAAATGTCTTCTTGTTAAGTGTTGCATATTTACTGAACGTTAATCATACCATACTTTCTACAAAAATATGTTACCAGAAAGTGCTCTTCTGTGGAGAGGCTGGAAAATCAGGGATGAGCACAAACCTGTGGGGATCATCGGGGTCACAGTTTGGTAGGAAGTTGGTGATAGCTTCTGCCACTTCTTCATTTAACAGCACATCCCAGAGTCCATCAGTAGCTAGGATCAGAACATCATCAGGCCCATGCTCGTACTGCAGGAGGTCATAGACTCTCACCTAAAACAAAAAAAAACCCAAGAGACAACCATGAAGGAGAAGACTGTCAGATCTTTCTGAAGCGAGTGCAGAGGAGGGCAACAAAGGTGGTGAAGGGCCTGGAGAACAGACCTTATGAGGAGCGATTGAGGGAGCTGGGACTGTTCAGTTTGACGAAGAGGAGGCTGAGGGGGGATCTCATCATGCTCTACAATTACTTGAAAGGACATTATAGAGATGTTGGTGCTGGTCTCTTCTCACAGGTAATTAGGGACAGAACCAGGGGGAATGGTTTCAAGTTGCAACAGGGCAAGTTTAGGCTGGACATTAGGAAGAAATTCTTCACAGAAAGAGTGGTCAGACACTGGAACAGACTGCCTAGGGAGGTGGTTGAGTCGCCATCGCTGGGTGTGTTTAAGTGTCGCTTATATGTGGTGTTGGGTGATATGGTTTAGGGGTGAACTTGTAGTGTAGGGTCAATGGTTGGACTCAATGATCCCAAGGGTCTTTTCCAACCTGAATTGTTCTATGATTCTATTTCATTCTATGAAAAATTGCTGAGCTTGGCTGTGAGTTGGCAAGTTCAGGCAGGGCACTGAAACACCTCTCCCGCAGCACTCCTGGGAGCTGTCTCCAATTTAGCCCTGGAGAGGGTAAACCTTCCTGCCCCAGCCTAGCCCGGCTCATGTGCTGAGCCCAGCTGGGACAGACACAAGAGCTCCCAAGCCCAGGCTGCACCGCACCGTGCTGCGCCTGCGGCCGGCAGCGCTTCCAGTCTCCCCCACCCGGCAGCCTGGTTTGGGCGTGAGGCTCCTCCCTATCATTAGCAGCACTACTCATATGCAAGCTGAATAATTTACTTGATGAATTTTTGATATTTGCTAATAAAATATTCACAAATAATTGTTTTCACTGTTTGTCCAAGTCTATTTCACTCTGCCAGATAAATTGCACATTTGGAAGTGCCTGTGTGGCAAAAGGCATCGTGTTCATTTTTTCTAGGCCTGAGGCAGCTGCTGCACTCAAGAATTACACCTGAGCAAGTGAGTAGTCCCACAAAACCGAGAAAAACTGTTTACTTGCTCAGTTATGTGTATTGGTGAGGAGCTCGGTAGGTAGAGATTGATTCAAGATCTGCACAAAGCAAACCTCCACGGGGAAGCTGAAAGTGGTGAGACACTGAAACGGGTTGCCCAGAGAAGCTGTGAATGCCTTAACTCTAGGAGTGTTCAAGGCCAGGCTGGATGAGGCTTTGAGCAAGCCAGACTAGTGGGAGGTGTCCCTGCCCATGGCAGGGGGATTGGAACTAGGTGATCTTCAAGGTCCCTTCCAACCCAAACCATTCTGTGATTCTAGAAGTGGAAGGTGCAGACATGGGGACAGGGGCTGGAAGATCATCAGCTGAGCCAGAATGTGAGGAAAGGTCATGGCAGGTGTTTTAAACCGAACCTTCAGTTGGGTGTAACTCTCCTTCCAGCACACCCTGTGTCCCAGCTGACGAACCACCTGCAATTTCCAGCTTGCGATGGGGAGTCATTACAAAGCACTCGCTGAGCACTTTAATTACCACAGTGAGAACTACAGTTTGAAAGAAGTGTGACAACCTTGGCAAGGCAGACAGGAGGAAATGATCACCCGTACTGAAGTTTGGAAAGGGGATGGTTCATCACGCACCCTGCTCTGGCCTCGGGCTCCACTAAAAGCAGCGGCAGTCACGAAATTTGTCGAAACAAGCGTTTGGCATAACTAGAAAATATGAGCTATTTTATTCTCCCTCATGATGCATTCTCCCCTTAGGAGCCATGGAGCAGGCAATGCACATAAAATGCCTGGACCTTTCAATGTAATTATAATTTTTATGGGACTGCAACCAGTACCAGAGGAAGAAAAAACAACACCTAGATCTGACTGCTAATCCTCACTTGTTTGCCTTTCACTCAAAAGCACAAGAAGGTCATTTGTAAAACGTAACCTTCACTTCATTATCTGAGGTAGCAGCTGAATAAGTCCTTTGGAGAGGATTAAAGTCAAGGCAAGACACTCTCTTCATTAGAGCATATCTCCTTATTAGAACTGAGTGAGGATATTGTTATAGAAAGTATCCCTGTATGCAGCTCTTATCTCAAGCTCATTGCACAGAAACCAGTAGCAGGTGTCGTAGTCGCCATTCCCCAGTATTTATTTCAGCCTGTAACAGCCCAGAGCTTCAGCTTGAAAATCACTGGGGTGTGAGGGGTAAGTTGGCCAACACAGCCATCAATAAGCACCACGTGTTCTGGCCAAATCTCTTGGGTACAGGCAAATATTTGAGAGAACATCGGGGTTAATGCTCAGGGATGTGCTCAGCAGCAAGCTCCTCTTAGGAATCACCAAGCTTCGAATGTCAGTACTAGGAAAAACACATCTGCCATGGTTCTCCCACCCAGGCAAAGTACACATAAGACCCTTTTTTTTTTGCAGCATTTGTGGGGGAGAAGGCAGGAAACCAAGACCACACATCGCTGATTTGAATCCTCCTGAAACAAGCAGTCTTGTCTGGCTCAGAGAGCAGCACTGGGGAGGGTAAGAAACTTGTCAAAGCTACTTGCAGCCAACCTACACGTCAAAAGGTTCAATCCTTAGTGCAGCACAATGCTAGAGCAACACAAAGAACAAGTATTTTACCAAGAATGTTTTTGGAGAAAACTAAAAAAAAAAATGCAGTCACTGATTTTTATGGGTAATCTGGAACAAGGTGAACTTAGCATCTCCAGGGTGCCATTAAGAAGGGACTTGATGTCAGAAGAGGTGCAGAGAAGGGCTCTGGGGTGAGCAATAAGGGACACTAAGCTGATATTCAGGCTAAGGAAAAAGAGAGTGACAAGGTTACAGGAGGCAAGCTTGGGGCAGCTTCAGGTAAGATTCTTTTACATAAGGATTGTTTGGACATGCAACAAAACGTTCAGTGAAGTGCAGCGTTGTCTGCCTTGCAGTTACCACAGCAGCAACGCATTAGGGCAGCTGTGTCCACATAATATATTTTTTTTTAAGTTTTCTTTCTGTCTTTCCTTGGATTTCTAAAACACACCTGTAGGTTCCCCCAGCACATTGCTGACAAAAAATAAGTTAGTTTAGAGCTGTCCAGTCTATCATAAGTTCAGGTTATGCTCATAGACCACCTTGCCCAGGTACAGAAACAAGTCAGTTCCTTTCCTTCTCTGCTAGCAGCTTTGTTCTAGTTCTTTCTTGGGCTGATGAGGGTCTCTTGCAGTGGCAACACGTGCCTTCAGCTGGACATGGAGCAATGTGACAGGAGTGTTCCCAGGGGCACACAGGCCAGGCAGCACCACTGAGGCACGTGTAATAGATGCACAGACCAGCAAGGCTCAGTCAACAGCTACTCCACATCTCTCCACGTTGTGCAACACCCCACAGCATCCTCCACACACACTGCACGTAAAAGGTGAGGGAGTGTGATATGCCAGAGTTTTGGAAAGATGAAGAGAGACCCGTAGAGTTACCTAAGTGTCTATAACAGCACTAAGTCTTATGTGACCAAAAGCAGCTCATTGATTCCAATGGAAATTACTACTTTTTATTTATTTTTTTTAAAAATCCAGAGCCAATCTTTTCAATGACTGCCTCCTTCCTGTAGCTGTATTTCAGAAAACAGAACAGTGAGGTTTAAGTGGTGTTCTGTCTGTGACAAAGCTTGTGCAAAGCTCCACCCGCTGTAAGACAGTGCTGCATAGCTCTGCTAGTGCAGAGGACAGCTGGCCAGACACTGGCTGGCAATGCAGAGGTTTCCTTTACTGGTGCTGCACCCTTGACAAATTTCCTAGCAATTTTAACCCCATCTTCAATCTTTGCCTCATGACCCATTGCTTCTGCAGCCAGATGTCAAACCTGATAGTAGCCTTGGGCAACCTGTGCTCTGTCCTCTGCCTCCTGTGCTGTCCCGAGAGCCTTATCAGCAACTTCGCTCCAGCCTACCAGCCCCTTTCTGTGCTGTCCTGGCAAAGTTCCTCACTCTTTAACATCTCTCAAGAGCATTGAGGCAGCCCTCAGAAGGGCCCAGTTTGGTCACCATACTTGTACTATCCACTGATGTCTTACCTGATGCGGAGCAGTTGACCTGTTAATTAGCTAAACTTGACTTCAGTAACCAGAAGAGCCAACTATAAGGACGCAGCACCAGAACCTTGGTAGCACAGGCATCCATGACAATAAGCACTGGGTTACACTGTATTTTATCCTGACTGGTACCGACAGATCTCTGCTGACAGGTAACAGTGGATACACGCTGCTAGAGTTCACAGTCACGCAGGACATCATCTTTCTGAACATGCATCACATTACACCTTTCCTCAATCCAGGTATTTGTTTCTCATATTGCCCACCTACACACAGTCAAGAGAGCTGAGAAAAATGCTCTGGGCAAGCAGCGAACGAGCAGGTGGGTTGGTTTTATATATACATTTCAAACAGATCTACCCACTGGACAAACCCCATGTTTGGCTGCCAAAAAGGACGGCAGCAGCTCTGTGAAGGCGCTGCCGCTCGTTTGCCAGGTTTGTTTTGAAGAGCCAGCCGAGGCGAGACCCTGCGGCTCCAAACCCGCTCACAAAATGGAGCGACATGAGAGCCTGCAGCCACCTGAGGTGCTCCTCAGCAGCTGGCCCCAGGGGAATTCGAGCCAAACAACAGCCCGCATTCACTCCCCTGCACTATTGATCAACTCCACTACTTCAATAAATTAAGCCCTTTCTAATTGTATCGTCCCTTTTTATGCTGGGGTGTTATCCAGCCCAGCTTTGCTGGCAAACAGCGAGATCTTTCAATACCACCCTCCAAGTAATTTATATGTAAATAATAAAAAGCGGGTCCCAACACTGCTCCCTGCAGCACTCACCAATTAATCTCCTTTTAGCTTTTTACTGCCACCCTTTGTTTCCTGCCCTTTAGCCAATTTCCAGTAGACTGTGCCAACTTTCCACTTAGTCTGTAGCTTCATATCTTTTATATTAATAACCTGTGAGGCAGAACAGTTTCTCAGACGTTTTCTGAGCTATCAAAGTGCTCATGCAAGACCATCTACTGCGTTGATTATTATTTTTTTTAATTCTCTGGTAGACATAACCCTGAAGGACTTCAAGGCACTAAAGTGTGACGTTTGCTTCTTGAAACCACCTTGACTCCCTTTGATCACCCTGTACTTCTCTAAGTGTTTGTCTTCCTTATTCCTTTCAACACCGTAATTCCTAAAGATTTCTCCAGAAGGCAGATGTGAATCTAAAATGGTCTTCTTTGACGTATTTGTGGAGTTGTCGGACAGATTTTACAAACATAATGGAATGAGACAAATTCTCCTTCATTACTTTCTTATCATTCACTGTGGTGTCTGGCTTTGGGTTCATCACCGGCAAGGGCCAAGCACTGCCACCAGAGCGACACTTCTCCTCATCAAATGGCTGAGTTGCCGTTTACAAAACTTTCAGAACCAAATTCAGCTTTTCAGCTGCAACAAGGTGGCTCTTGCAGAGCTTTAAAAAGCAGAATTTCCT